CAGATCAGTCAAAGGGGCAACCACTATACTATAATTCTTCACGAAAGTCCTATAGTAGCCTGTCATCCCTAAGAAAGATCCCATCTCAGYCACAGACTGAGGACGTGGCCAATCACGAATGTTGGCCACCTTCGCGTCATCGGGCTTCAATCCCTCCGTGGAGAGCTCATGACCCAAGTACAAGACACTGGTCCAAACTCGCACTTCTCACCGTTGATCTTGAACTTGTGCTGTCGCAGAAGACTAAGGACWTTGTCCAAGTGCGCAACTTACTCCTCGACAGTCTTACACGATGACAAACTTATCGAAGTAGTCATGAAATATCCGATTCATAGCGTGCTGAAAGGTGCCAGGAGCATTGCAAAGGCCAAAAGGCATCACCACAAACTCGTACAGACTGTACCTGGTCTAAAATGCGGTTTTGTGTTGATCCTCAGGCCGGATTGCAATCGGATGGTACCCGGACTTCAGATCTATCTTACTGAAGTACCGACACCCTTGCACTCTATCTAGCAAATCATCGATGCGTGATAGGGGCTCTCTGTTCTTTACAGTGATGGCATTGAGGCCCCTATAGTCAATGCACATGCTAAGTGTTCCTTCCTTTTTCTTTGGTACAAATAAGACTGGTGAACCATAAGGAGAAACACTCGGCCGAATCCATCCCTTTTCTACGAGTTCCTTGAGTTGTCGGCGAAGCTCGTCAAGCTCGCCTGGAGACATCCGATAGATCCTACCSTTTGGGATGCTAGACCCTGGGATAATCTCTATCTCGTGGATGACCTTCCTCTCAACAACCCTTGTCGGATCTTCAAATAGATCAGGGTACTTAGCAAGCACTCCCTCTATCTCCGACGGCATTTTCACCGGCTCGCCTGCAACAGAGTCATAAACTAGATACACACCCTCCTCCTGATTTTGCTTATAGTAATTATAGAACGCGGCCCTACACATGCATCCGTGTGACTCGATCAGACTACTAGCTTTGAACTTACGTAATTTGGCGGTCCCCCCACCTGGCAAAGTGTGTTTGACCACTTTTCGGTCCCAGTCAAACTCGGGTTGTGCCACAGAGAGGTAGTACATACCTAACAACATATCCATGGGGAGTTCATCGCTCACTAGGAACGAGACGTGATGTCTCGGTTCCCCTCCCGCATACGGGAAACAATACTCAACATCTTGGAGGTAGTCATTGACTACCATGCGCTGTTTGTTGGCACAGGTCGACTCCACAGGTCGACTCCACAGGTCGACTCCACAGGTCGACTCCACAGGTCGACTCAGGCGCTGCAGTTGCCCTTGTAAGCGCAGCTTCTCAACGCACGCGCGACTAATGAAGTTCCGTGTCGAGCAAGTGTTATAATAGGCCCCGGCCTTGCGGCCGCCGATGACTACCTCGATGACGAACATCTCACCCATAGGAGCTTTGACTAGTGCCGTCCAGGAAGCTAGTGGGTCTGACCTAGACCACTCCTCCTCTAGCTCCTCTAAGGACTCGAACACATTCATCGAACAGATGGTCGATGGGTCTGAATGTGTTTGCGGGACGACGGTGGAGTCAGTAGCTTGGGCCATCTCTCGAGATGGTGAGGGTGTGTCCACCACCTCGACCCTAGCAGGAACAACTACTATTCCTATTGGCCCGACATGTTTCCCGGGGCAGTGCCTGAAGTGCTGGCAACATTGCTACCAACGGAAGCGGAGGATCCTACCGCTTGCCCCATCGTAGGCGGGATCTTCTCAGTCACCTTCTTGTTTCGGCACTTGAATTGGTTATGGCCATATTGGCCACAACGGATACAAGCCTGCCGTGTGTACCGATCTCTCCACACATCCTCAGTGAGACCCGCTTTCTCCCATGGAGGAGCATTGGGGTCAACTTGACTCCTTGACCGGGAACCTCCACGGCGTCTACCATCCGCCTTACCTTTTTGTGCTACGGCAGCGACTACTCCACCCCCTGAAGCTTCTACGCTGCCTGCCTCTGAACCTACTCCCTCCTGGAAGTTGTCGTCTAACTCGATGGTTGAACCATCGTTATCGACAAACATAATGCGACCCTTCGCTTTCCAGTTGGGAGGCAGTGTTTTCTTCCTACCATYCGTTCTGGGATTATGTCCATGCCCTATCTTTGCCTCAAGGTCTAAGGCCTTCTTGCTGAATGAAGGAAAGTTGTGCACATTGATGTTGGCCTCACCTGCCAACTGGTTCCTGAGGGGCATAGGAAAGCATCTCAGGTATCAGGTGAGTAAGACCTGGGGGTCATAGCGCACCCCAGGGACACAGATCAGACGCTCTACAGCGTCAGTGGCCTCCCTAACTTACTCGAACTGCCTTGTGTGCAGTGTGAGGATCGCGTCAGTGGCTTTTTGGGCCTCTTGAGGATCATGCCTCCTGTCTTCCACCATCTTTAGGAAGTCCTTCAGTTTCTGGTGGGCTGCCCAAGCGCGGAAATCATGACCGTACCCTGTAACTGCACTAATCCACTCAACCATCTTGCTGCACTTCCCTCTAGGTAGGATGCAGCCACAAACACTTCCTCATGCGGCAAGTTTTAAGTTTACACTTGATATAGACCGGCAACTCCCTCAGCCAAGTGTCGAGGTCTTTGCCCCTCTTATCCCCTGTGAAGGGTTTAGGAGCGACGATGACCGTCTTTGGTACCCACTGACTTTGTCCCGGTATCTGCACTAATCTAGACTGTGGACCCTGTGGCGCAGGTTGCTGCACTAACTGCAGGGGTTGTGTACCCTGCGGCGGTACAGACTGCGAGACAGCAGGTTGCGTTGCAATTGAAATCTGGAACGGAGGCTGGGAATACACTGTCTGTACAGGAACCTGCAAACTAGGACCTGCTGAGAACCCGCCTGTCAAGGGCATACCCAGGGAAACGGGCTGGACCGATGCTGGAGCTGTATATGGGGATACCTCAGTCACCGGTGGGACAAAAGGAGGAGGTTGTGCAACGGGCCATGCACCTTGCCCGGACGGCGATGGCGCAGCCTGCGCTCGTCGGACCAATACGGCCAAACTCTGCTGAATGTCCTGAAGGAGAGCCATCTGGTGGTCCTGCATTTCAACTTCATCTAGCAGGACGGACCGTATGGTCCTCACATCATCCGTCATGTGCGTCAGGTCCATATCCTCTAACTCACTAACGTCCGCTTGCCTCCGCTGCATTCTGGCTCTTCTTCTAATCATTTTCTCTTTCTCTGCCTTAATCTCTCCTAACGTCTGTTGTAGCTGTGCCTCGCGAATCGCTGCTCGCTGTATGGCAACCTCCTTGAGGGTCAAATCTATTGGCTGGCTTGCCACAACGCCAGTGGACTGACTCACGGTCTGCGCGACCGTTGACCCAACAAAACCTGAACTACTAGCCTGAGAAGTTTGCTGCGCGGCAGTGGCCATGGCTGCTCAAGTAGCGGCCGATCTGGTTGTCCTCTCTAGTGTCCTCCCTGTCGCTCATAAGCAAAAACACTATACACAGACTGCACTAGAACACTCCAGATGCCTACCGCAGCATAATGTAAAGACCAATTTAAAATAAAATAAATAAATAATTGGTGGCTACGTTAGAGACTATCCATTCGGGTTCAACAGGTAAGTTCGAATTCCTACAAACGCAAACTATTGTACTTCAATTAGTCCGCAAACAGAAAGCACAAGGAACAAAAAACAGTTCTAACTAATGTTGTCTGTCAGATGTGAATGGTTGTACATCTAACTAATCAAAATAAAAATAGGATAGTTTGTTTGGTCTGTTCACAGCATGGGATCTTACTCAAACTTATCACCTGGAGTCTACCCCTTCCCCAATTCCCCTTGATTGTCACTTGACGTCAGCGTCCCTGAGCAATCCGGTTTGGCATGCGTGACTAAAGGTGTGCACACGGCCCACTCCTGTGCCCCGAGTAGTTGCTGAGCTGGCCAGCCCTGCACCGTGTTTATCCTCGCGTGCAGCGAGCCTTAACGACCGCCCCCAAGTGTCATCGGGAATTATTTTACATCGCAGCAGGACGACGATCACAGCCAACGGTTTCCCCATCCTGTGTTTATTTATAGACGCCCGTTACTCGTCGCTCCCATAGGGCTGGCCGGCCCTTCAGTGCCCCTTCTATGAGTGCAGCAAGCAGACAAGGACAAAGCAGCAAAGCATGCGTGCTCTACTCCCAGTGGGTTGGCATGGTGACTGTGACCCAGTGCTCCGTCCAAGGCCCTTCAGAAAGCACCGCCCTCTCCTTCCAGATGCTCCACAAGAACAATGCCGACTCTCAAGGTTGAGCGCACACGACACCTCACATGTGAGGACTCTCAAGAAAGAACTCATAACCTCACGGTAAAAAGTGATGAAGAGGGTAGATAAGGTTAAGAGCAACGTACCTCATTATAGTTGTCCCCAACCACAGATATTCTCACCAGATGACCTGATGGCAATTGCAATGACCAGTCACTGCATCGACACAACCAGCATTATCTCGCCGTTCCACCTCAGCATCAATGAACCACCAGATAGTTCTCATAACACTGCGAACACCCAATATACACACCATAGCCTTCCTTGCGATCCCCTCTCCTCCTGGGTCACCGCACCTTGTCTACGCCCTCCTCACTACACCGCCTATGGCCTCACTCACGAATCAGACCGCATGTATGTACCGCATAGGCAGAAGACAAGCGCCAGATGAGCGCAACGTACCACGTCAAGGGGATTTGGGAGACCTACTGAGCTTGCAAACGGGTATTTTTTTCTTCTCTCGAAATTTTTGCAAAGTTCAAACTTTTCTTTTTGATTAGTGGCTCCTTCTCTGGGCGATTATCCCACCCACCCCTCCCCACCTAGGTTGTTGCCCCCTCTCGTCTTATCTTCTCTATCTGTCTCCGGGTACCCCCTGCGGCGGCATTGGTGAGTTGCCACGTCAGCAGACCATGTCAGCAGTGCCACGTCAGCAGCAGGGAGTGCCACGTCAACAGGCCTCCGGCCTGGTCTATGCTTACGCGCTCACAAACAGCCGCCATGGATCAGAAGGCCAGGGAAACGGCCGCGGCCTATCAGACCCGGATGCTGGCTTGGAGTACCGAAGCCAAGCAACGGGCGGATGCGGTAGCAGCCGCAGAAAAGAAGAAGGCAGAGGACGCCGAACAGGCACGCCTGTTGGCAATCAAACAGCAGCACCAGCACGACGAGGCAGCAGCAAAGGCTGCCGATGAAAAACGAACTCAACGACGTGAGAAGATATTCAACGGAGAGCGAGCTTTGCTCACAATGGCAGCGGACTGGCGGGGCGAGGCCGAGAATGGTAAGATGGAAGAGAGTGAAAGCAAGATCGCTCTACTCCTCTCCAATATCACGGATCTCCTGGCAACGTGCATTGCACAGCAAGGGGACATCCACAACCTCGACGCCGCGGTTCAGACGCACAAATGGGCGATTGATCAAGTCAACAGCGGCCTCCAGCAGCTGCAGCAACAATCTGTCACCGCCTCCGTTGCCAGCTCTTCCAACACCTCCGATCAGCTCGAGGCATTGGAGATTGACATCGGATCCCTCAAGGACGGCGTGTTGTTACAGCAAACCGCAACGCAACAGTTAGAGCAGTGGATTTGTACTGCCACCAACCACTCGAGCTCGGAACCGCGCGAGAAAACTCCAAAATTCGATGGGCAGGAGATCTTCTGCAACTCGACAAAGACAGACCCGATTCCATGGTTCCGCAAGTTTGAGCTCACGTTGCAGCTACACTACGTCAAAGAACACAAGCACCACGTGTACTTATACTCCCGCTCGGGAGGCGCGTGCCAAGCATGGTTGGACAATCTCTTGTCCAAGTACGGAGTGGTGGCTACTGACTTGCATAGCAAGATCAGCTGGGATGATCCAAAGGCGGCGTGGCATAAGCAGTTCCAAGTAGAGCCGCCGAAGATCAAGGCAATGGACAAGCTGATGGTCTTCGAACAAGGCACTCTGCCAAGTGTTGATTGGATTGCCTAGTACCAATACTTGACATCCATCCCAGACATCCAGATGGGCTTCAAAGCCATCAAACACTACTTCATTTCGAGGTCGTGTCCGACGTTGGGCAATGCCTTGACTCACATCGAGGACACCCTGACGACACCGGCAGAACTCTTCGACAAGGCCGTGAAGATTATTGTCACGAACAAGGAGGCCAAGAATCTCCAGCGTTCATCTGCGCCAGGCCTGAGCAGAGATCAGCATCGCTCGAAAGTGGCCGTGGTCGTGGCGGCAAGCCAAATGACCAAACTAGCGAGGCCGTGTCTGCCAATGAAATGGATAGACTCACAGTCGCCCGGTAAGGTGGCCGCCCCGGCAAAAGCCGAGGATGCGGCAAGGAGAAGACAAACACCGCATATAGCCCCAAGCTCGGCGCAAGAGTTCCAGCCCCATGGTCCCATTACGGTCTCTCCGAGCAAGCATACAAGGCACTCACGAGATTCTGCTATTATCTGCATCGACTACCGCAAGCTCAACGCACAAACCGTCAAGAATGGGGGACCTCTTCCTCGCATCGACGATCTTCTTGGGCGATTGGGCGGCGCAAAGTATTTTTCTAAGTTGGATTTGAAGTCGGGATATCATCAAATCTCGATCCGACCGAACGATCGTTACAAGTCCACGTTCAAGAGGCGGTATGGGCATTTTGAGTGGGTGGTCATGCCTTTTGGCCTCACCAACGCCCCGACGACCTTGCAAGCGGCAATGACCAATGAGTTTCATGCAATGTTGGACCGGTTCGTGCTGATCTACTTAGACGATATTTATAGCCGGACATTGGAGGATYATCTTGGGCACCTTCGACGAGTGTTGGAGACGCTCCGCCGTGCCAAGTACAAGGCCAACTGCGACAAGTGCGAATTTGTCCGGCAAGAGCTGGAACACTTGGGCCATTTTGTCACACTGGAGGGCATTAGCCCGCTGCCGGACAAGATTCAAGCCATCCAAGAGTGGCTGGAGCCGCGGAACGTCACGGATGTCCGTTCGTTCCTTGGCCTTGCCGGCTACTACCAACGTTTTATCAAGGGATACTCGAAGATTGCGGCCCCCTTGTCCAAACTTCAATGTGAGGATCGGTCGTTTCACTTCGGACAAGAGGTGGGGGAATCATTTTTGGCTTTCAAAGCCGCGCTATTATCTGCGGAGGTCTTGCGCATATACGACCCGCTATTGCCAACGCGCGTTACTACCGATGCGTCCAGCTATGGCATTGAGGCCATCCTCGAGCAACACGATGGCGTGGACTGGCACCCAATCGAGTACAGCAAGAAAGTGCCCGTCGTGCATTCCATTAATGATGCACGCAAGAAGGAGCTCCTCGCCTTCGTCCACGCGCTCAAGCGGTGGCGGCACTTCCTCCTTGGTCGAAGTCAATCCCGACGGGTGACGAACAACAATCCGTTGGTCTTCTACAAGACCCAAGACACYGTCAATAGCACCACCGCCCGTTGGATGACTTTCATTGACCAATTCGACTTCTTTCCCGATCACATTCCCGGGAGGTCGAACCGTTTTGCGGATGCTCTTTCAYGACGTCCGGATCATTGTACCGTGGTTTATTCAACCTTCGAGATCGATGACGACCTGCGGGACAGCTTCATCCGCGGCTACCAAGCCGACCCCGAGTTTCGCGACAAGTACGCGAATTGCTCCTCTCCCAATCCGGCACCTTCTCACTACCGGATCCAAGAGGGCTTTTTGCTTGTCCACATACGGGGAAAGGACCTTCTTTGCGTACCAAGTGACCCTCACTTGCGTACACGGCTTCTTGGCGAGTTCCACGATGCTCCCGCCACCGGACACTTTGGAGTCAATCGCACGATTGGCCGACTTCGCGAGCGATTTTGGTGGCCCGGCCTTCTTGGACGTCACACACTAGTGCGAGTCATGCGAGGTTTGCCGACGTTGCAAATCCCGCAACCATCGTCCGTATTGCGAGTTGCGACCGTTACCGGTTCCCTTGCGGCGAAGGGAAGCGATTGCCATGGACATTACCGGCCCGTTTCCCAAGCACAAGACCAGAGTGGATGGGATTCTCACGGTGTTCGACCGACTCACCAAGTTCGCCATGTTTTTGCCTTGCCGCTATCATGCCAAGGCACCGGAGTTGGCCGAGGTTCTAACCAAGGGTTACCCCAAGGAAATCGTCTGCGACCGCGACACTCGGTTCATGTCCGATCTTTGGTTGGTGCTCATCAAACAATGGGGCTCATCTCTCAAGCACGTTCGGCTCGCCACCCCCAAACAGATGGCCAAACGGAGAGGGCGCATCAGACCGCGCATGTTTTCCTTCACACTCTCATCCGTCCCGACCAAAAGGATTGGGTTGAACGGCTGCCAGATGTCGAGTTGGCACACAACTCGTCTATCCACCCGGCTATCAGGATGTCGCCCTTCGAATTCGAGCACGGCTCGCCGGTCACTTCTCAGTTGGACACAATCATTCCACGAACGACCGAGAGCGACAACCATCTTCTTTTCTTGCATCGGATGCAAGAGCTGCTTGTCAAGGCACGCGACCAGATGACCAAGACGCAGCAACGCATGAGCCAACAGGCCAATCGCCAGCGTCTTCCTTGCCCATTCTGCGCCGGCGATCTCGTTTGGGTTTCCGCCGCGAAATTCAGCATTGAACAAGATATCTCTCGCAAGCTCCTCCCGAAATGGATGGGGCCTTGGCCGATCGTGGCACCCGCTAGGGATGCACCCAAGGGACCTTCCTTCACCATTAAGGTGCCCGCCCACTTGCCCGTCTACCCGGCCTTTCATTGCTCCAAATTGGCTCTTTACACGCCAACGGAACATGATGATTTTCCCGGGCGATGATCACAAGACCCACCCTCTATGGACGGTTTTCAGGAGGTCAGCGACATCATCTCTCATCGACGCTCCGACAACAGGCCAACCGAGTACTCGGTACACTTTGCGTACTACAGTCACAAAGCTGACCGTTGGTTAACCCGTGCAGAACTCCAAGCCACAGCTCCGGATGTTCTCGCACGCTACGAAAGCAAGATGCAAGGCAAGCCCGTATCTTCGGCTCCACGTCGCACCCGCATCCACATTCCACCTTCAGATCGTCAGCTTCGCCCTCGCCCCGACTTGACTTCATAAGGAGGGGGGGGTGTTACATGCTGCACCTGCAACAGGCAGCACGGGGCCCCTTTCAGGCCCGTCACATTTTCAGGCCAAAAGCCTGAAAATCAAAAGCCTGAAAACAAGGGCCTACAGGCCCCGTATCGTTTCAGCCTGAAAGCCTGAAAACAAGGGCCTACAGGCCCTGTGTCGTTTCAGGCTAAATCAGGGCCTTTCCGGCCCTGAGTATTTTCAGCCTGAAACTGAGGGCCATTTTCAGACCCTCATCAGTTCGACCTGCCCTKAAACTCAGGCACCAGACCAGGGTTTTAGCTCAGGCCATTTTTGGCCTATTTTCAAGACAACCTTTGTTTGAGCTTCAACCCCAGGGTCTGGCACGTTTTGACATTGGCAAGGGCAGCCTCCTGGACGGGCCAGCACTATATAAAACTGGCCCGCCCTAGGAGGCAGGGAGTTCCTAGGTACTTCCCAGGCCCTTCACGTGCAGTTCAGGAGGCAGGAGGTAGACTTCAGGATTCGGCAGCAGCACTCTGGAGGAGCGCTGCAGGAGTAGTAGTGGCGCTAGCAGTAGTCTTCTGCGCTGGGCGCTAGTAGCGTTAGCAGTAGTCTTCAGCGGTGGGCGCCATAGGAGCTAGAGCAGTAGTAGAGAGAGAGAGAGAGATTCGGCAGAGGCCAGGGAGACTTACCTGCAGCGCCATTGCTCCAACTTCGTCTTCGAGGTACCTGCAGCACAGCGCCAACTTCACAGGTTAGTACCTGGCATATGAGAGAGAGAGAGTTCTTCTTCTTCCTCTTCTCAGTCCACCATCTCCATCTCACCCTCTCGCTACCTGACTTCACTGCATCAGCAGACTATGAGAGAGAGAGAGCTTGGTGACATTTGGATCCAGACTCGACATTGGACTAYAGACATTTTGACGAGGGATYATTTGGGACTTGTAACGAAGACTTGGTGTTGACGACTTTCCCATCTCCCCCCTCCTCTTCTCCGTCTGTTTCCCTCCTCTTCGTTTGTGCATGATCTGGACCTGGCACCTTCTTCCTGTTTATAGCGCCAAGATCCCTTCACACTTTGTGATGAGAATGCTGTATGTTGGGTCTGCGTTGCAACATTGATTGGGCTAGTCATTGGTATTCTAGCATTCTGCTACACTATCTTGCACTATGTGATAGAGGTCAGTCTCAGTCAGGTCAGGACTTGTATCTAAGTCTTCCCTGCGTTATAAAGCACCATTTTGTATGCATCGGAATGCACATTGCTTGTCGAGATTCCACTTGCACTGCATTGTCCATTCAGTCCTTCTCATCACATTGCGGATGCTCGGTTTATATGTACATCGCCCAACTGGGCATGTAACAGTAAAGCCTGCTCGGAGGGCACCTAAAGCGGTGTTGAAAGCAACAATTTTTGTAATTGCAGAAGGTTTTCAGGTGGCGTTGTTGGCTCTGGGTGCCGGAGGATTAACCGCSCGGATTCTGCAACTGATGATCTTGGCAGTGCTGACTGTAGTGGACGGGGGCCTCCCTCCCCTCGTGATGACCTTCAACATTCCGGACTGATCATGTTGGTGCTGGTGATATTCCAATACAAGCCATTATCCAGGCATCCATTAACCACTGGGGGCCACCAGGGGTCTGACGGTCCTTCCTCAACCAGGGCAGGACGCGCTGATTTAATTGCTGCAAGATCGCCCATCTTCCAGGCTCAACAGGTTAGCCGTGAATGTAAAGGCTTGTGCTTGGGGATAGTAGCCGCCAAGAATTGTTGTCCAATCTCAGGGCCAAAAACTCCCTTCCACAGTCCACCTCCATATCYTGTCCAACCATCTCCAGGTGAGGACCGCCCCTGGACATTGAAGACAGATGTGCTCGACGGTTTCTAGGATTTCTGGGAAGGGTAGGCTTGCAGACAGCACTTACACTACAGGGCGGCGACGCCTTTCTGCTCAAGCCTGGCGAGGTCGATCAGTCAGTCGTTTGTTAGCAGACAATGGTGTGCAATCCGCCCAATTGCAAAGATGAGGTTTTGGCAGGACTTTTGAACCAACTTACAGGCTTAAAGGAGGTTCCTGTCTATGTTAACTTTGCGAGGCATAGGCCTCGATAAGCCTTACTGGGCCCCTATTTGCAACAAGTCGGCCGCCCTAAGTGAAGGCAGGCTCGACAGACGACAAGAGGCCTACTTTGGACTACTTCGCAACTGGGGAAAATTCAGGCAGTTGCGCARCGCCAGTTGGTTGAAGGCGCCCAGGCCCTGGCCTCCTTTTTCAAATGTATCTAAGTCGGGCCCTGGGCGAGATACGCAGCATAGACCCAACTCAGACAGCGGGCAGTTGGGCACGGGTAACTGTCGGTGGCCCTGGGCCTGATTCGTTTGGCCTTAGGCTCAGCCTCCCTGGGCCTACCGGAAGCTTCTGGGCAGAGGCCCAGCGCAGCCAGGCTGCACGCAAGCAGGCTGGCCACTTCCATTTAGGAAAGGGCCAGCCCACGCATTTGGCATTCKGGCACTGGCTGCTTTGTGCGCAAGCGCTGCTGCACTATCGCTGGCCAGGCTCACGCGCTCACGGACGAGCTGGAAGGAGCAGGCAGCCATAGCCGAGCTGCGCTGCTGTAAGCTGGACGTGGCGCATGGTGGTCCTTGGGTGCATGTGGCATCTGTGAGTTGAGGAACAAGGTTGTGAGTGATACGAGWGACATACCTGGTGCTTGAGGCGACAACGTTGTCTGAGATCTGCTCGTACTTCGGGGAGCTGTTGATGTCATCAGCGGCATCGTAGATAGTAGGCTAGATAGGATCTGCCATCTGTAGTCTGGGCGCCGAGCGCCAGATAGGATAYCGACATTGGTTCTTCGTTGATGATGATGAGACTATTCCAGCATTGTCAATTATGAGCTTTTGCTGTGTTCTTATTTGGTGAAACTCGTGATGCAATTCTGCTATTGGTTCAAGGTCACGACTATCTGGTCTCATGTGTATGATGCTGTTTGATTTCTGAAGTTCGCTATCGCTCAGCTTCCTTGCAATTTGGTATCGGACTTGTGGTTCGGTGCGCTAATTTGGCGCTTGTCTTCTGCCTAATGCGGCACATGCACGCGGTGTGTGTGGTGAGCGACCGTGTCGTGGGATATGTRTAGTGAGGAGGGCGAAGATAAGCAGGCGACCCAAATGGAGAGGGGATCGCCAGGAAGGCTATGTGGTGTGATATTGGGTGTTYGCAGTGTGATGAGAACTATCCGATGCGTGTTTGGTGCTGAGGTGRAACGGCTGTGCAATGCTGGTTGTGCCGAAGCAGCGATTGGTCATCACAATCAACATGGGGCATCTGGTGAGAATATCTGTGGTTGGGGGCAGCTATTTTGAGGTACATTGCACCTAACCTTATCTACCCTCTTCGRCACTTCTTACCGTGAGGATGTGTGTTTTGTCTTGAGAGTCCTCTCATGTGAGGAGTCGTGTGCGCTCAACCTTGAGAGTCGTCAGCCTTCACGTGGAGCATCTGGAAGGACAGGGCGGTGCCATCTGAAGGGCCCTGGACGAAGCACTGGGTCACGGTCACCATGCCAACCCACCGGGAGTCTAGCACGCATGCTTTGCTGCTTTGTCCTTCGTTTGCTCGCTGCGCTGTAGAGGGGTTCTGAGGGGCAGGCCAGCCCCATGGGATAGACGAGAYCGGGCATCTATAAATAAGCATCGGCGGGGTACCTTCGATTGGCTGTGATCGGCGTCCTGTCTGCAACGTTAAAAATTCCCGAGGACTTTGGGGGTCGTCCATATAAACGCCTCCCGATCAGCCAATCGGTCGGTATAAGGCTCGCTGCACGCGAGGATAAAAATTGTGCAGGGCTTGCCAGCTCAGCGCGACTCGGCCCACAGGGGTGGGCCGTGTGCACACCTTCAAACACGCACGCTATCTYGATCGCTCAGAGACGTTGACGATAAGAGACATTCAAGAAGAATTGAGGGAGGGGTAGATTCCAGATGATAAGTTTGGGCAAGATTCCACTCTGCAAACAGACCCAACAGATGATTCTATTTTTATTTTGATTAATTAGATGTACARCCATTAACATCTGACAGACAACATAGTTTAGAACTATTCTTTGTTCATTGTGCTTTCTATTTGCGAACTAGTCAAAGTCAAAATAGTTCRTTTGTAGGAATCTCAACTTACCTGTTGGACCCAAATGTATCTTCTCTGACATAGCCACCGATTMGTTCAACTCGGTTTGTGCATGACGTTGCGGTAGGCATCAATAGTGTGTCCTARTGCAGACGGTGTGCAGTACTGTAGCTTATGAGTGACAGGGAGGTCCCACAACCAGACAATAGCCTCTTGCGATTGGCTAGACGCCCGATAGCCCACTTGGCATTAGGACCAGAGGGCGATAGGTTACTGTTCCGCCAGCAAAGGGAGAGGCAGCAGCAGCTCCCTTCAACCGATAGGATAATAGTAATAATTAGTAATAGTAAAAGTAAAGAAAGGAACGAAAAACGTAACGACAAGATGACTAGTGGCCGTCAGATTCCCCCAAATTAAGGCTGGCAGTTCAGTCGCACGAATTATCCCTATCAAGTCCTTGCACCTGGCCTGGATCATAACCATCAGGACCAGACGGTCCCTTCAACTCCAAGCAGGCCAGGTTACCTGATAGCGACTGCGGCCCAGGAATTGAACCGCTGCCCACCCCTGAATTAAAGCAGGAGCTCAGGCCATTGCTTTGGCTTGACGGTTAACTTTTATTTTCTTTTCCATATTTTCTTTCTCTTTTCACTTCCCTCTTCTAGGTCCTTCTCTACCCGACAGCGACATCTATCCCGTGCACCTAACCCATAACCTGGTTAGACGGCGTTCGGCGCGCAGTAGAAAAGACTGCGCCGGTCCCTCTACCTTCGCGTCCCTGGGCGAACCCGGCGGCTACCACGGCCACAGGCTGGTAGTGCTCTGCTGTACAGCAGGGCGCCGAGCCTGCGTGGACCAAAGGAAAGTCCAGTGGCGCACCCTTTTGTCAGGACAGACGCCAAACGGACCGGTCCTTACCGAAGTTCAGCTCAGGTGCCAGGCCTGTAGAGGTCCGGGACACGCCTAAGGCAGCGAAGGTAGGGACAGGGAACTGGTACTGGGTAGGAATCTGGCACCCACGAGGGCCGGGACACCGCGCCCTCCGACAGCGCGACTGCTGCACCGCGTGCTGGCGCCTCCCTGCTCTGGCGCCAGCTGTCTTCCTAGTTGCTGACCTGGCGCAGGCCACACTGTCTTCCTAGTTGCTGACGTGGCGCATGCCACACTGTCTTCCTACTTGCTGACGTGGCGCATGCCACACTGTCTTCCTACTTGCTGACGTGGCGCATGCCACTGTCTTCTTACTTGCTGATGTGGCGCATGCCACACTGTCTTCATTGCTGATTGGGGACGCGACAAGGAGGGAGATCGGGATCTGTGGATTGACAGAGAGAGAGAGAGAGGAGACTTAGCTGTTGCTGGTGCCGACATTGCGCGCTGTTCTGACGTCTTCATGGGAGAACTGTGCCTACATGGCACTCCGTTCTGATGAGACCTTGTCAGGCTCGTTCTGGGACACTGTTTGCTGACGTGGAGGAGGGGAAAAACCCGAAGAAGGAGAGGGGAACGACGGGCTTCTATCTACGTGGACACTGATAGATACTTTCTCTTCGACCCTCTAAGTCTATTCTCCCCCTCCCCTCCTTCATCCTCTGGTTACGAAACACTGTATCACAGATCACATTTCATGATTATTGGGAACATTGATCAGCGCTGAGTTATCTTGTATTGTCGACACCTGACGAGTTGCTTCCAGACTGGTTCATTACACAAGCTTATATGTTAATCTTTTGAAGCAGAYGGTTTTGACTGGAAACAAAAAGGTCAGTGGCTCGGCCCCAAGAGGTCTAAATTTTTAACAGCAAATGTGAATGGCCTCGGAAAAGGTCACACCTAWTAAGGGCCTGTGACCTTATGTGCTGCACTGTGATTTGAACTGCCCCTACAGGTGCAGTATGCTCATTCACCAGGCCACCAGTGCACAGAAAAACTCTTGAATSKTTGAGTTAAATGACAGAGATGGATAAATCATGCAAGCAATTTGCTCGGAATTGGTTCACACAATTGCAATTTGTGTATACTCAACCCTCCAGCAAAGTTCACAACACATCCACTATCCCTCCCTTATACAGTATGTACAACTTCCTTGTGCCTGAAATCCAGCTTGGCCGAGCTTCAAATGTCAAACAGACATTAGACATGTAACAAGACAAGTTATTACTTCGAAGACCCTCTTGCTTCAACTGGCGGTCTTGCACAGCCTGAGCTTGGGGGAGTATATATACCTGCAATGCTGCACAAAACAGCAGCGACCTCACCAGTTCGCCAGGGATTGGCAGCGTAACGCATTTAGCGTTTGCCTTCCGTGCTGCAATAAGCTGACATCCACCTCAGCTGCTGCAACCAGAACTAGGGTGCGGAGCGGATCTCCTTCTCTTTACTGCACATTTCCTACTCAGCTAGGTTGAGAAGCCATCATGGCAGTCCTCAGGAGGGAAGCCAGATTGATGGGATCAGCCATAGGATGTCTTGGAATAATTCTCCTTGGTTTTCTCATTCAGTCCCTTGCGGTCCCTACAGGTGAGAGCACCTCCTTATCAAAGACGAGTACGGTTGCTAGGAATGCAGAAGCTGAAACTGACATTGTTAGCAGGGGTCTCGGAGAGGAAGCCTATGATGATGGCGATAAAACACATTACAAGTTTGACAAGTATGATCACTATGATAAGTATCACATGAGGCATGGTAAGTATTATGGTCAGTATTATGGTAAGCATGATGGTAAGTATGATGGTCAGTATTATGGTAAGTATGATGGTCGGTTTGATGGTAAGTATGATGGAAAGTATGATGGGAAGTATGATGGTAAATATTATGGTACATATGATGGTAASTATGGTAAGTRTGATGGTAAGTATGATGGTCAGTATAATGGCAAGTATGATGGCAAGTATGACGGCAAGTACGATGGAAAGTATGATGGCAAGTATGATGGCAAGTATGACGGCAAGTATGGTGGCAAGTATGATGGTAAGTATGATGGTCAATATTATGGTAAGTATGATGGTCAGTTTGATGGTAAGTATGATGGAAAGTATGATGGGAAGTATGATGGAAAGTATGATGGTAAATATTATGGTACATATGATGGTAAGTATGGTAAGTACGCTAAGTATGATGGTCAGTATTATGGCAAGTATGATGGTAAGTATGACGGCAAGTAYGATGGAAAGTATGATGGCAAGTATGWYGGCAAGTATGATGGCAAGTATGATGGCAAGTATGATGGTAAGTATGATGGTCAGTTTGATGGTAAGTATGATGGAAAGTATGATGGGAAGTATGATGGTAAATATTATGGTACATATGATGGTAAGTATGGTAAGTATGGYAAGTATGATGGTCAGTATTATGGCAAGTATGATGGAAAGTATGATGGAAAGTATGATGGCAAGTACGATGACAAGTATGATGGAAAGTATGATGGAAAGTATGATGGCAAGCATGATGGCAAGTATTAGATTAACGACTATGACAAGTATGGCCAGAAGGATGAGAGGAAGGGTTATTACTACAAGCACTATGGCGACAAGCAGGATTAMAGGGGKTATGGCAAGAAGTGGGCTGASAAGGGGAATGCTGATCAGCAGCACAACAGCCAGCAGGACGATCAAAAGAAGTATGGTGACAAGAGCTATGACGAGAAGTASAAGCTCCAAATTGCGGTGATTAAGAGTATGAGGGTAAGAAATTTGAACTGTGACAAGAGGACGCAGAAGAGCAACAATATGTAGAGTGAAAAGTCTGATTGCATTAACACATTGAGCGAGGCTTTACTTTCACAGAGGATGCGAAGTGTACGGGAGTTGGCACGACAATGACATCAGGATGATGGCCAAGCTTTTTCTTGCAGCTTTTACATGGTAGTGGAGCAGGGATCATCGGCAAAGTCACCAGATGGAAACTGGTCTAAACAGACGAATAAGAGTTTGATTTGCTCATTCCTTTTGGTGCAGGGGTAATTTTGAATAACTGTCCAAAGCAAGCATTTCAAAAATATGGATTCTGTTTCGCTTCGTCTATTCTGGCAACTACCAGTGAGTGTGGGKGGTTTCTACCTTCTCATGAAACAACTTCATTGCAGTCAARCTTATGGCTTTAGCTGTGCTTCGTGATGCAACTGATGTTGTTCTCCATGGCGGCTAGTTGACTAGAAAACCTTATGACAGGGTTTATCTGAGTACAGTTCACAAGGAGACCAGTCAAATTATGTCACGGACCAGATTTTGAATTGTGCTTTTCGTTTTGAAACCAGCACGACCCCACCAAGCTGGCTGCAGGGGSCAGGGGCCTGTSTTCATGCCCCATTCGGGGACTGACTCTGGGAGAGGCTCGTTAATGTGCTTCAATTCTTCTTGATAATTTATAACTGGSCACTGTTGAAAGCCTAGCACTCGCTCGTAAACAACCTTGTGATGATGTATGCTTCRCCTCCTGAGTTATCCCCCTTTTTGTTTTTTGTTGCTGCCATAAATAAAACAAATGACCTTCCGTAAAGGAAGTAATCAAGGTGCCCACCAAGGTCTCTCAGCCATAATGGCCAGAAGCGTCAGAGTGAGTACAATCTGTAATTTSTTGACTTGTCTTYGGAATAGGAGGCGGACGGATGCTTCCCAGAATGGATATGGACTATTATGGAGGCAGGGCCACAAGGACCTGGTTAAAACTAAAGAAAAGAAATAACTACGCCCAGGTGTGGTGTGGAGGTTCGAATTCGCAGGAATAGCAGTACACCGCAAGTTCGGGCCGAGAGCAGTTTGAAACTGCAAAATAAACACGTACCTTTGCAGTTGTACCCGGTTGGTACTTTGTAATTGGCAAAATCAGGCGATTATGTTGCTTTTTTTATTCTTCTTTTTTTCTTCTTTTTTTCACACCCGCGCCTGGGCCACGACGAAGACGCACGTGGCCGTATTTCGTGCGTAGTGCATGGGACTCCTCACCATCCCGCAAGGGACCGAGATGTCTAGGCCATGCTTGTGGCTGGGCCACGGCCGGGATGTCTAGGCCACACCCGTGGCTGGGCCCTGGCCGAGATGTCTAGGCCACACTCGTGGCTGGTCCACGACCGAGATGTCTAGGCCACGCCCGAGATGTCTAGGCCACGCCCATGGCTGGGCCGCAGCCGAGATATCTACGCCACACTCACAGGAAATGACTGGTACTGGTACTGGTACCTCCCGTTGTGGCGAATTGTTAAACTGGCATGCCGTCGAAGGCATCATTTGCTGTTTTTTTTGCAGTTTCGAGCTGCTGTCAGCCCGAATTTGCAGTGTACTGTTATTTCTGCAAATTCGGAGCTCTGCACCGGTCACAGGCGCAGTTGTCTCAAAAAAAAAGGCCTTCTATGAGAAAGGAGGGTGACAAAGGCAAGCTGATGGTTTCCACTCTCCTGAGCCCAGCTGCATAGGGGCCAAAATCATGTTAACCGCGGACCCAGACACCGGACACTTCCGGACTGTCTTCCGGACCAGTCTCTGGACTGATCCGGACATCACCAGACACCGGACATCACCGGACACCGGACAGTCCTGACCGGTCCCCGGGGTGCAAAAATGTCCAGACCCAAAAAAAAAAAAAACGGGGCGGGGGGGTGGAGGACGAATATGTGGGGGAACGTCTGTTCCGAAAACTTCCGATCAGATCATCAGACGACCTTTTTTTTTTTTCGGTTCGTTTTGCTGATTG